ATGAAGAAGAGCAGCAGAAGAAATTGCATAAGTATGGGACGACGGAGTCCATGACGGTCCGTTGTGACGATGACGATCAGTCGCGAGGTCCGTCGACCCCGCCACGTTTTGGCAGATTTCCAGCAAATAGAGTCCTTGTTTAATTAGGTTTTTATTTTCTATAAATAGTTCGAAAAACCTCGTTTTTGAGGTTGGACTCCAGATAGTTAGACTCTGGATCATTATTAGACTCCGTATTGTTAGACACCTTTTTATCATTAGACTTTTTGCGAGATTATTGATTACTTTGAGATTATTGCAAGTGATTTTTGGTGAGTAATCAAGCAAACTTTCGGATTTTACTCTTCCTCATTGAAGTAAGTACATGAATTCTTATATAAGATATTTGAATATTGTGATTATGACTACGAGTAACTAAACTCCATAACTAGGGTTATGGGAACCATAGGCAAAAAATGAGATAAAACCTAACTAAAATAACAATTCTAGAATGGTGTCTTGAATGTATTAATAATTCTTTCGTTTAGAAGTCTTTTTAATGGATGGACAACGTTAGAACTCGCCTTAATGCTACTTGCCGGACCAAGGAGGTAGATAATAGGAAAAGAATTATCAACATAGATTTAGTGTATACTATCTAATAGGCTAGTATTGATGGGTACGAGGTAATAACTTAGTTAAATATCGAATACAATGCTTAATATGAGGTAAAAATAAGGGTTAGGATAGCAACACACGTAGCCGGACCAAGGTGCGGAGTGAGATTTTCTAGATGCAAGACCAAAAATTTAGAAATACATAACTTATCACTTTGCATGCAAGATACTAGGAAAGAATTGTTATAGTTAGAATTATCAAGTTATGAACCTGTGGGGAACACGTAAACCCTAGTTACTTTGATTAATTGATTAAAATCCAACATTCAAAGTTGTTAAGTGTCTCTTTCTATTTCGTTGGTTATTTTCATTCATTTAGAAATAGAAACCCCCTATTATTGTTTTTACTTTCCAAGGAAGTCATTGACCAAACAATAGTAATAACAGGTTGAAGTTAAGTCTAGACTATTTTCCTCGTGGGGACGATCCCAACCTCACTAGTTGGGTTATTTACTTGACACGATCGCTTTACTTCTTATTTGAGAAATAAGTTTGAGCGTATCATTGTATACACATTTACAGCGTAGAAACAAAGTTAAAATAATGATAGCACCATCTGATATGAAAAAATCCATATAAAATCACATTTTTTATTTCGCTTTAATGGAAAGCAATTACATGTAAACTGACTTTGTTTCAAAGAGAGGCCACAAATATGACATCACAGAGCTACATGGGATTAATATGGGGGTTAACTAATCAACCAGCCAAACAATGAGATGTTATCACCAAAAAAAAATATGCTTCAAATAATTTCAAGAATGAAACTCTAACAAACTAAATCTGGAAAAAATAAAATATAAGAAACTCAAATCTATACTAACTCAACCACAAAAGGCAATTAACTTTATACATATTAGTTTAGAAAAGAGGACAAATATTTGAACAAAGCTCACTCATAGGCAGTGAAGTGATGAAACCCTAACAATAATGTAGGAAAGAGAAAAAAGAAGACTAAACATTAATTGATTTCAAGCTAACTTAGATAAAGACAAGACAATTCCATTTTAGCAGGTTTCAAGGGTGTAGATAATAAGGACACATAGGTAAAATTAGCATGGTAAAACACTTTACATGGAGGATTTAATACAAGAAACTATGTTCCAATAGAGTGTTAACTACCAGTTTATTATTTCATTTTTACTCGGCCTTAGTTAGTAAGAAAGTCAAAAAACATCAAATCGCAAATGTAAATAATGTAGCGTATGCAAAAAAAACGTTTATTAGAACACAAATTCTATTAATACGATGGCTAATATTAATCCTTAAAGAAACAAATGTCGTGGAGAAAAAGGTAGACAGTAAGTACTCAATCTGTGTTAGTTACATTAATGGAAGTAATAAGTAAGTCAAGAACATTATATATCAGATGAAAGTTTAAACCAACTATGGAAGATGGTCTCGAACTTTAAAAAAACTAAATTGCTTATCACAGCTAACAAGACAAGCTAACAGTGAAAAAACATAACAAATATCGTCTGAATGGAAATAACGAGAACATTACCTTTTCCTGTGCAGCGATAGTAGGACGACGAGAAGAGCTATTCCACCACTCTCTTCGAGTACTAAAGGCAAGCTAAGAAAATTTGAGTGACGATCTTCTACAAACTTAGAATCAAAAGACTAAATATAAATATTTGAAGTGCAGAAGTGACAACTGCTTTAAAACCAAGCTCAAATCATGTCCTTCATCACCGAGTGCAAAGGGTTATTTATACTAAAATTCTTGGGCGACTAGGATGCAAACAGATTGGATTCGTATTGGATTTTGAATCAATTTATTTCTTTTTGAGGCAATAGTAAAAAGTAATGGGGAGTTGTATTTTTCTCTCTGAAATTTTGTGAAATGAGGGAAAGGGGATTATGGGCACTGTCGATGGTGTCGCTTGGAGCTGTAGTCGGCCGAGTTTGAGCAAAAAATAAGAAGAAGGTGTACATGGTACTGTTGGATGCAACTTTTCGCTGGATTTTGGTGTGCGTCTGAATTGCAGTGTACTGCTTTGATGCGTCCTTTTTGTAGATTTCTCGGTGACTTTTAGCGGAGAAGAAGACCTACACGAGTGAGTTGGGTATTAGCTATTGTGTTGCTGTATTTTGCTGCTGAAAAAAAGGGTTTGGCCAGGTATTGATAGGGTTGGATTGGCTGAAGTTGATGGGTTGTTGGGATGGGATGTTGCTAGAATATTAGAACCGTGAGAATGGGCTAGAGGAAAGGAAATAAGAAGTGCTTTGATTTGGGTCTGGGGGAAATTGGTTTTGGGTAATAAGGAAGTGGCCAATAATTGTTTATAAATTTATTAAGGAACTTCTTAATCTTAATGAAATAAAATAATGAATTTGATTATAAAATAATTAATTTAATTTCAAACTAATTAACTCAAGAATTATAATTATGACTTAAATTAAAGTAAATTAATAAAATATTTAAGTAAAGGTGAAATATTTTGAGATGACTTTTGAATATTAAAAAAATAAATTAATTAGATACATGATTATATAAACCATATAAATTATTTAAAATTTATTAAAAATGACAATCTATCTAAGAGTAACTTGCAAACTATATTTTATAAAAACTAATTATTTTTAAAACGTTTGATATTGAAGAAGTTTGATGAATAATTTATCTATTGGAGGTCCCAAATTAGGTGTCAACAGAGTATACATAGTGCTTAATTGTACTAATTTCATATCTTTCTCTATTTCTACAAGTGTAGGCGGTGGCAAGTGAAGATTCCTAGAGTTGAAGCTTGTTAAGTAGAATTCTCTCAAGAAGAGGTATGTCCTTATATGTTCAAGGACATGGTTTATATTTTCTAGTTTTCTTTCATTAAAGACTTTGTATTAGACATAAGTTTCTTTTTAATGTAAGGGTCGTGACCCTAGTATGAGATTCTTAATGCTTGTGTGTAAGATAGCTTATGATGAGAGTTAGTTCTTCTTACGTTTTATAAATGAGTTCGCTTATTGACTTTACTATGAAAATTTTTAATTCCACACTACTTTTCACACCTATGTGACGAATGAATGCTAAGAGACTTGTATAAGACCTCCGAGAGGTAGAATATGCGGGTAACGTCTAAGGGGTGCTCTCGGGTCATTACAAACTTTTTATCAAAGCATAAGGTTAAATGGTTTAGGATTTAGTGTGTGTTTGGTATGAAGGAAAATGTTTTCCATGGAAAATGTTTTCCTGGAAAACAAGTGGATTTTGGACTTATTTTCTCATGTTTGGTTGGTGAGTAGAAATTTTTTTTCAGAAATGATTTTTAACGTTTGATTTATGAATGAAAAATATTTTTGAAGAACATGTTTTATTTTTACTAGAGTAGAAAATAATTTATCAAATTGAAATTATATTTTTTAAAAATAATTTTTTGGGGGTGGGGTGGTGGGGATGGGGGTAGTGAGGGGAGGCAGGAGGAGGGGGTAGGAGTGAAAAATAAAAAAATTGAAGTTGATAGTATTTTTAAAAAGCAAAATTGACTTTTTTTGGGGGGTGGGGTTGGGGTTGGGGAGGCTGGTAGGGGTGGGTAGGGGGCTGGTCAGGGGGGGAGGTAGGAGTTTAAAAATAAAAATTTGAAGTTGAAAAAATTATTAAAAAGCAAAATTAATTTTTTGGGGAGGGGTTGGGGTTAGGAGAGGAGGGCTGGGGGGAGGGTGGTCAGGGATCGGGTGAAAAAAATAAAATTTTGAAATTGAAAATATTTTTATTTTTAAAAAAATTGATGTTTTTCCAAAAAAAAATGTAATTTTAAATTGGAGGAGAGCTTTGGAAAATGTTTTCCTTAATTTTTTAAAGGAAGTCATTTTCTTTAATTTTGAGGAAAATGAGTTGATTTGGAAAACATTTCCAAAACTTTTGCCCCAACCAAACATGAGAAAATTGGAAAACACACTCTTAAAGTCTCATTAAGCCACATCTAGTAGCATTTTGTTAATTGGTGTGAGTGGTGACACATCTATGAGCGAGAGGCTTTATGAGGATACAAGTTTCACTTTCTTCATTACTCTTGTGTCGTGACATAGAGTTGAGGTTATGAATGTCTTATCCTAAATCTCTTTTCTTGTGTTTATTGGATATGAATACAAGAAGGACGCCCGAAAAGAGAGTGGAAGATAGTGTGGTGAATGAGGAAGTTCCTCCCCAAAGTGGACAAGTTTCCCAAGGTGGACATGTTCTTCAAGGTCAACAAGTCCCTTTGGTCAACCAAGAAAATGAGATTTCGGTGGTTCCCCCAGACATGTACAATGAGGAAGTTAGAGGGGCTCTTCTTACCCTAGCCTGAGCCATGACGGCTTAAACAAATAGAGATGTAGGGGATGAACTGTCTTGAGAGTACTATGGCCTCTAAGTTGAGGGACTTTGTGAGTTTGAATCCTCCTACCTTTCTTGGCTCTAAGGTGGGAGAGGATCCCCAAGCATTCTTGGATGAGGTTTATAAGATAGTCCATGCTATGGGTGTGTCTTCTAGGGAGAAGATGGATTTGGCTTCATACCAATTGAAAGAGGTTGCTCAATTGTGGTACACACAATGGAAAGATAATTGGTCGGTTGAATAGGATCCTATAGAATAGGAAAATTTTAAGGAAGCATGCTTAGAAAAATACTTTCCCCATGAGAAGAGAGAGGTTAAGGTTGAGGAGTTCATAAACATTAGGCAAGGTAATATGAGTGTGGAGGAGTATTTTTTGAAGTTTACCTTGTTGTCTAAATATGTTTCATCTTTGGTGTCTAATCCTAGAGATGAGATGAGTAGGTTCATAATAAGTGTTTCCAATCTTGTGAAGGAAGAGTGTCGTACGAAAATTCTCCATGGTGACATGACTTTGTCTAGGCTCATTGTGTATGTTCAATCCATTGAGGAGTCTAAGCTTAGGAGGAGAGGTAGATATGTGAAGAGGGGAAGAACCGATGAGCAAGGTAAACCTAGGTTTAAAAAGAGGCCTCCAAATCAAGATGTTCCTAGTGCTCCTAAGGCTAACTATGACAGAGGTGGTGTTCCCAAATTTATAAACCTATTTGTTCAAATTGTGGGAAGAGGCGCTTTGGACCTGTCTAGACGGTACTAGTGGGTGTAATGGATGTGGAAAGAATGATCAAAAGGTGAGATATTGTCCTAGTATTGCTTCTAGGAGAAGAGATGTCAAACAAGCTCCTTATAATGGTCCAGGTGTTGATGAACAAAATAAGAATCACTTGTATGCTCTCCATGCTAGTAAGGAAGCAAATCCGAATGATGGTGCCCGTAAGTTATAATTCCTTACCTTAGTAATGAGATTTTATTGTGTTATTCTTAAGTAGGAAGATGGGTTCTTACCAAGTTGGGGAGTATGGTGAACAGTTGGGTTAATGGACTTTAGTCTCTTCTCTTTTATTCTATTCAAGATTGAGAGTTAGAACTTTCTAGTAGAAATGTGCATGAATTGAGATTCTTTTGTGAAAAATGAGTTTCATGATCTGCTTACAATTTTGGCATGTTTCCATGAATTTATGTTTATATGGTAAAATGAGCTTACATAATTTTCTCTCATGTTGATGTGCATCTATATTGAATGGACTAAATGTTGCATGACTAGACTTATGAGCATGTTTAAAGTGATTACTGAAAATGTTGCATATTTGTGCATTTATTCAAAATTGGTATGGTGTGCTTCGAAATGTTGTAGTGAGTTTGATGATATGTGGATAAGGAAGTCCCTCCTATGTGAAATGAGAATTGTGGAGTTATTGCATGATAAGTTGTAGATGGTGTTCCTACTTTCTTATTGTGTTTTCAGTCTCTTGTTATGTGGTTTTATTTTTCCTCCTAGCCTTGTGAAGTGCATATGATATTGTATGCTTTATTTTGGGTTGTTGCTTTGGTCATTTCCCTTTAAATGGTTAAGTGTAATTTGAGGACGAATGTTTCCAAGTAGGGGAGAATGGACCGACCCTCAAAATGAACATGAGTTTTATAAGTTAATAACATGTTAAAATAATGAAGAATCACTTTTGAAGTCAGTTTTAAAAAGTCTTGAAGTCAAGCGTCAAAGGACAACCAAGACGTCCGAAAACTAGCTTTTTACGTGTTGGTGTGTTCTATTTTGTCGTTCATGTTTTTATGTGTTGTTTGGAGTCTAAAATCAGTGAAGGTGACCCTAGTGTCTTAATAATAAAGTTTAGGGTCAAAACTTTCATACACGAATACGAAAGGACAAACCAAAGGGTTCTTGAGGAGGGATCAAGCTTTGGCAAAGAGGTTGTCAAGGCAACGTGCAGGCAGTACCTTTTTTAAGGTGTTGGCGCGTTGCACGCCCTACACTTAAGGAAAAAAGTTTCCTTGCGATGCGAGCTTGTCACAAACCTTTCTGCCTCAAATTGAATTTCAGAAATAAGATTTGGAAGTGCCTGTGTGACGCGCAACCATGTCCCAAATTTGGTCGTGTTGTTTAAAAGTCAAGTTAGACTTTAAAAAAATGTCCAAATAATGTAGGGGTATTTTGGGAGTGTATTATACATTCATTTTAAGTCATTTTACACTTATTTACCCAATTAAAAACCTATCCCTTAATTATAATTAAAAATAGAAATTCCTTTCTCTGTAAACTTTCTTTAATCAAATTCTCTATTGAAGAACCTTCAAGTTCCAAGGAATAAGACCAATTCTTCAAGTTTTCAACCCGAATTTCGTGGATAGATCTTCATTAAGGTATGATCATTTCATTCTTGATTCTTCTCTCATTCAAGGAGTCAATTTCAAAAGTTTTTCAAAAGATCTCAAAAACCCAAAAACCTTATATTGAATTCTAATCATGAGTTCTTGAATTAAAAGGTTTAAATTGATGATTTATGAAGTATTCAATGTTGATTGATGGTTTTATGATATAACAAAAATCCATGAAATCGTGTATTCCTTGAATTCCTAATTATGGCTCTAAAGTGTGTATATTGATTATGATCTAATTATATTAAATTCATGTTCAGATTGTTATGGCCTATTGAATTATATGTTGATCATTGTTGGAATTGTTCATAGTTTTATTTATAGTATTAATATCTATCTTAGGTTTTGTTGAATCATTGATATGGATAAGTTGGTGGTCTAGTCTTATGGACATTGTAATTGGTAAGTTCTATTAATGTGTAGAATTGTTTGAGATGTTGAGGGATGGTGATTTTGGCTATTGGAACGTGGTAAGTTGACCTAATCCCCTTATTTAATGTAGAATTTATATTGAATTGCTATTTATTGGTATGGTTCACTTATGATGGTGGTGTTTAATTGTAATGTTATGATCATGTCCTTGTCAGCATTATTATGTGAATTATAGTATTATCATGTTATGAATTATATGGGTGTACAAAGTGAATGATGATATGGTATATGTGAATGTATAATATAAAGGTACTCAAGTGATGCCTATATGGTCTTATATGCATGATATAATGTTATGATTGAAAGTACTTCTTCTCTAATTGTTTCTATATGATTATGTTAGCCTATGAAGAGTTTTTATATGTTGATAGGGTATCATACTTAGGTAGACTTAGTTGTCCCTACTTGATACATGAATGATATGATGAATGTTTTGTCTTTATTTGGCACGTTTAAGTTCCTTATCTTTATACATGAAAGTGTCTTGAATATGATCTCTTGACTTGGTAGGCATAGGCACCCTTGTCTTGAATGAATGAAAGAATGAATGTCTAGGATCGCTAGACCTAAAGTAGGTACCCTTCTATGAATGACTAATGTGAAAACCCTGAATATGAAAAAAGGTTAATAATATGAAACCTTGAATATGAAAAGAAGGTTTATAATGAAGTGGTGAATTTGGTAAAAGGAGGTTTTCCCTCCGCTTTAAACGCCTTTTCCCCGCCTGTTCAAGGCACCTTTGTAGGAATCGGATAGACCTAGCATGGTACCCGTTTCATGAATGAGCTACCTTAATGAACCTTGATCGGTAAGTGGATCCCTTCTTGGTAGTGGTTTTATGAGTTGGTAGGGCTTAGAGATGGTGTCTTCTCAAATACTATTATGTGAATGAACTTACTCTATGAGAACCAAGGTAAAGCACCGAGTGGATTAGCTTGTCGTAGTAGCTCTACTTGAGAATGAGACTAGAGTACAAAGAAGCCTTTGATATTGTCATGCCCCGAGCCTACAACTTGGACGTGGCCAACACCCAATGACCATTGTTGGTCTTGAGTGAACCCTTGTCCTAGCTTACTTAACTCAGCGGAAGATTTAACTTAATCATAAAGCGAGAAACATTCTCATAAAAATAACTTAAGTAAATGTTTTGGCCAAAATGGTACTTGAATCTCAAAATTAGGATATCTGGAAAAAAAAAGTCAGTAATAAAATAAGTGACAAAAGAACTTACATCTGACTGACTATCTATGAAGCCTGTAATAACTGAGATGGATCTTGCGACAGACCCTACAACATTCTATTGAACAAAACTAGAAAGAAATGATGGATCCTCTGGGAAGCAATGAGGCTCAACAATTGACTTTGAATTGCTCAATGGATCAACGGAGCATTGGAATATCGATCCTAGTTACATGCGTCTGCATCATGATAAGATGCAAGTCAACTGGCATCAGTACATTGAATCTACGAGTATGCGAGTTGGAATGCTAAAACAACATAAGCTTGATAAGGAGTAATAAGGAACCCTTATTTAGGCTCTGCTCAATTCATGAATAACATAACACAAAATAACTAACTCATTTAGTTATATAGCAGTTTAAAGACATGTGCAATATGAAAAAAGTTGTTTAAAACATAGTTTTCAACTCTATGTATCCAAATATACAACTGATTCTAAGATGTACATAAAAATACAAAATAATCTGATGTAAGATCATAATCTTAATAAAAGAAATCATGCTTCCTCTCAAAGTCTACTCGTAGAATGCAAGACACATACCCCCATTCATACTAAGAAGAACCTCTGGAGGAACCATGCAACACTGTTGTGGAGTTTCTCTAACCGACAACCATAACTTAATAGTTATAGTGATGATTATACGATTTACCTCACGCTTCCAAAGTCCATCCTAACATTGACAGAGTACAGGACCTGAACTGCCTAATGGATCCACTAGTAAATTGTGAAAAGGGTTCATCTAAAAAGTATAACCCTTTTCTACTTATAATGGCAATATCGTTTATGGGAGCTGTGAGTTATTTGGACCCCCCCCCCCAGATCAGTGTTTAATACTAATCCCAAAAATATACTTGTCTTGTATGTTTTAAAAACAATTTTCTTATGATTTGAGATTAGTTCTCAAAGGCTATCTTGGAAATCTCAGTTTCCTGTTTGCTTCATTTATAAAGCTATAACTCTTTTCTGAAAACTAGCCCGAAGGATCTTTGAAAAACTTAGTTTCCTTACTTATTTAAATGTGAAAACATTTTAAAATCACTTTGGGGACACTTAGACCCCTTATACTTTTGAAGGAAAGAACTTCAACTTAACTCTTTACTATTTATTCTTTACTTAGTTTGAAACTTGACTCTTAGAGAATAATTAGTTTCCTTATAGTTTTTAAGAGATGCACTAACTCTTTGATCTTTGTTTTACTTGAAAATTTAGCCTTAAAAACAAAGTTAAAATGTTTGTTTAAGACTCTTGAAACTTTGAAAACTTACTTTGACTTTCTCCTTAACTTTTAGACTTGACTCTTAACTTCTTTGACTTTGATCTTAATTTCCCTTGAATTGGATTATGGGTTCAAAGATCATGATCTCGTGTTTATGGATGATTTCACGATGTTTAGATGTACCTTAGAGTATTGGAATTGACTAGTAAATGTGGGTACAACACTCAGAAACTAGTACGAAAAAATGGGGAATGAATGGGGAATTGTCATCCTTGGCACTCTGAGAGGCTTGGGGCTCCAGGCTCCAAACTTTAGAGGCCATGTTGAGGTGATCTGGCTGGAGTGCCGCCCCAAGTCCTTACGAATTGACACTGTCCTGTGGGTGCTATGGGAGGCGCAGTGCCCTAAGGCCCTATGGATGTGCACTTGACCTTTCTTCTCTGTTTCATCTCTAAACCTTCTAAACTTCTATGGATCTTTCCCCAAACACTTAGAGTCACTTATACCCTCAATATTCAATATATTAGACTCATAAAACACCCCGGAAACACGAATGAAAACAACTAACGGTATACTCCATCTCAATCAAAGAATTCAAACATAACAAGGACTAGTGCTACCCCACCCTCATATAGAAGTTTTGGTTGTTCGAAAATGCACAAAAC